CCGCCCTTCCATCCTCTGCGCTGCAGAAGCAGGTCACCAAGCGCAGCCCCGACTCAACTTGGGGGGCGTGGTTACAGTTCAGCTCCTGGAGGGGGTGATATGCAAGTCATTTGGAATTATTCTGAGGTTGGTATCGTCTCCCCCTTTCTGGCTGCTCTTACATCGAGCAGTTTCCACATTGGAGACCGTTCCCTCTCATTACCTCAACAGCTTGAGTTGTGTCCTGGCTCTGCCCACTTACTCTCTGTGTGACCGTGGGCAGCTCGCTATTGACTGGAGTGATGATGAGAAAAGGAGCAGCATGTGACAGCCCGTCTGTGTCTATCTGGGGACAGAAACAGACTAAACTAGTTTAACCAAATAGGCTTTGTGTTTTTTTTCCTCATGTGACAAGAAGTCCTGAGGTGGCGAGTTGAGCTGGTGGATCTCAAGGAGGTGGTCAGGGACTCAGGCTTCTCCTGGCCTCTGCTCTGCCATTCCCAGCACGTGGCTCTTGTTTTCATGGCCCCAAAGTGGCTGCAGTACCTCCAGCATCACTGCTGTGTTCCAGACAAGACTATCCCCATTTTACAGAGAGGAAAGTGAGGCTCAAGAGGATGGGAAACGCCTATCCTAAGGGAGTGAGCGCTGTGAAGGTTGAGACTAGTATGTAGCCTGGGGCGCAGTGGGTGTAGCTGTTGTTTTCTCAGTGGGAGAGGCCTCCCCAGGCCCTTTGGGGTAGCAGGTGCCTGGAGACCTTGGGGGAGGAAGAGGGCGGGCCTCTGGGCACTGGAGTTCCCGCCCATGGTCAGCCTGGGGCCTCAGAGCCCCGGGGCTGACCCTCTGGGACCTCAGAACTGGCCTTTGGGTGGGACAGCAGCGGGGCCTTCTTTGAGGGCAGAGGATGCTGGCGAAGCCAGGACAGGCTGGAGCCGCAGCGAAGGCCACGTAACCCTCAGGCCTGGGGACAGCCAGCCAGGCGGGCCTGGCCCTGAATCCTGCAGCCTGGGTCTGCTGACCTGTTACTCAGTGCCCACTTGTATGAGAGATACAGGGAAGGGTTTGTTGTTCTTGTTCTGCTTAGGAAGACAGAGTTAATTCAGGGGCAAACTATGGCCTGAGGCCAAAGCCGGCCTGCCACCATCTTTGTAAATAAAGTTTCACTGGCACGCAGCCATGCCTTCCGTGCACATTGTCTGTGGCTGCTTTGTGCCGCGGGGGCAGAGGTGAGCGGCTGTGACAGAGACCGCGGGGCTTGCAAAGCTCGGGCTACGTACTCTGTGGCCCTTCACAGGACTAGCGAGCTGACCTTGGCATGAGCAGAAGGCAGCCGGGATCAGGGCAGCGCGGCTGGGGCTTCCTGAGAGAGACACAGGCGGGCCAGGACTTAGGCGGGACCATGGGGGATTTCTGGAAACACATCCTGCAATAGCCATGTGGGGTCTTTGTCAGGATGGGAGCTGCTTGGGGGTGCAGGTTGCCGGGGGTTAGGGGGCGGGCAACTCTGAGGCATCTGCCGGAAGCAGCAGGCTGTTGGAAATGGGGGCCCCGTGGCCCATAGGACAGCTCTGCTCAGCTCGGCTACTTGGGGCCACAAGGGGACTCATTTTCCAGGAGGAGCTGGCAAGCCGGTGCTCATGGGAAATGTTCGCAGTTGATTCCATTTTACAAAATCACGAGCAGATGTGCCTGTGGTGTGTGGGCTGTGGGTTTGGGAACTCGGGTGTCCAGGGTGGAAGTGAGGAAGATGGGGAGCGTGGGTAGACACGGGAGCGTGCCAGGCCCGGTGCCCAGGGGGCCCCTCCTGTGGAGGATGGCAGGTGGGCTCTGAGTGGGAAGAGGGGGAACTAAGGGGAACTGGGAGGTAGGGGGCACGGCAGAGCCCTGGACCTGCGGTGTCAGGATGTCAGGTTTCCACGGCTCCTATCCTGCCCCGAGCTGGTGGAACATTCCCACCTGCAGGCTTGGGCACGAGCCCCGAGTTGGATGCCTGCCCTTGCACACCTGGCCGCCCCTAGAGGGGACCCGCAGTAGCAGCTGCAGGTTGAGCGGTTGGAGGTGGAGGTCTCTGAAGTCCCCTGAGCAATTCTCAGGGGGTTGGGTTCGCTGCTCTGCCCTCATGGAGGCCAGCTGGTGGCAGGAGCCCTGTGGGGCAGTGGGCAGGGCCTGGACTGGGCACCGACAGGCCCGGGCGGACCCTGGTCCCCTGACCTCTGACATGGGGATGACCCCTTTCATTGGAGGTAGCTGTGAGAAGCCAAGAGAAAATGGGCGTGGCCGGGCTGGTTTCCAAAGCACCTGCGCAGCCTCCGGGGGTGCTTCCGTTCTCCCGACGGCATCTGGGGTGCCAGGCTATTTTCAGCCTTACAGATGGGCCCTCACCTGCTGATTCAAGGACTGGTTTCCAAGTGCTCACTGGCACTGCTGTGGGTTTATTGTTTGTTTTAAGCTGGACTCTTGGTTGCACGTGACAGCCACCCAGGTCAGCCTGGCTTAAGCAAGGAGAATTCCGCGGCTCGGAACAGGTCAAGTGCCGGGGCAACTCCAGCGCCAGGCAAAATTGGATCCAGGTGTTCGAGTGATGTTGTCGGGTCTCTGTCCTGCTCCATCTCCCAGCTCTACTTCCCTCTGTTGGGATCCTTCTCAGGCGGGCCCCCCGCCATGTGGTGGCGGAAGTGGACCTCAGGCTCGTGACCTGTCCTCACAGGAAACTGGGTGGGAGTGGGGACGTCCCTGTCCCAACAGCACAAGTCCCAAGGCTGCTTCTCATTCGCCCAGCTTGAGTCACATGCTCACCCCTGGACCAATCACTATGGGGGGGTCAGGCCTCCTCTTACCCCTCCTTCCGATGTAGGGTGGGCCAGGGGGGTCGTACCAGAACGGGAAGCAGAGCCTGGGCAGGCAGCAACAGCACATGCCCACCCGCTGTAGAGCAGCATTTGGAGCCTCCGAGGCCCCATTCCGAGCCCCCTGGCTCATCCCAGTCCACCCGTTCCTGGCGGACTTCGGCCGAGTCCTCCAGCTGGCTGTGGTCACTTCCTGCATTTCTCCACATACCCCAAGGTGTTGTCAGGGGCTTGCTCCGGGGCCGAGATGGGGCTCCAGCCTCTGCAGCCATCCAAGCTGGGGGCCAGGGGACAGGGAGGGCGAGCCTGTCTGCGACGGCTTGTTCTTGGAGCCCCTGTGGATTCCTCGTGAGAGTGTCCTTTTCTGAGTGCACACGCAGCCGCTCTCTAATAATCCCCGGGGCCCTCTGGCCGGGCTCAACGCCCTGTTTCCCTCTTTCCTTGCTTCCTGAATGCAGGAATGATGTTTCTGTCCAGCATGAGGGAAGAGGCCACCATTTCTTGCATCAGATCTCGCTGGATCTGAAGACTCCATTGCATCTAAAGCTGCTCTAAGTCTCTTCTGATGGCTTCTTCTTAGCTCCTTCATCATAACATTGATTTTCCTCCTTTTCTGGACATCTGTCCCCTTGAGGGAGGAGGCCGAAGCCCCACCTGTGTTGGTCGGACCACCACAGCTGGGCCAGGACCCTGGCTCTGGCCTGGTCACTGGCCATTGGGGACCCTCATGGACCCCTCCCCTTGCCTGGGCCCGAAGTCTGTCTTTTCAGGATCACAAAATGCTCTTCGGCCCCTAAACCATGTGTCAGGACGAGGGAGCTTGTCTTTGAATGGCCATTTTTCACTGGACTGTTGTGTTTTCTAGAAGACACTGGCCAGTGAGCCAGCTCTCGGGAGGGGCCGGGCGAGGAGAGTCGAGAGCCCAGGTTACCCCACGTTGCATCCGCAGCCGTGAGATGTGCGTTGTGCCCACTTCCCAGCTGTGTTCTGGTCGCAGTGCTGCTGGGGGACTCGTGTCCGGTCTGTGGGGCTGGGACGCTGCCCAGGAAGGTGTTGGGAGAAGGGGGGCAGGTGGCAAAGGCCTGTGTCCCAGGTCCCCACCCAGTGGGCTGGGCCAAGGTGGGCTGACCAGGCCTGAGTGGATGGAATGTTCTCTCTGTCCTTGTGTGAGGCTGGCGCTTGGCCAAGGCGAACAGCTGGTCCTGGTTTTCCAGATGTGGGTGACGCCACGGGCAGGCACGTGCTCCCCAGACATCTGACTGCGTCCTGCTGTCTTTGAGACCCTCTGATGCTTTCCCTCTGCAACTGAGCGGCCTCCGTGTGGGCAGAGTTCAGGGCCCTGGGGCTCAGGCATTAATAAGAATCCGTCTGCGCCCGCCCTAAGCCCTGTCCGCCGCGCTGCCCGTCTCCCCGGCGGCGGCAGCGTCTCCACAGCCTGGCAGACCCTCTGTCCTTGGGGCTGCGCAGTCACTGGGAGCCGCCCTGGCTCGTCACGGGAACCACCTGGGAGCTTTGAAGGTACCCGGACGCCCGAGCCACAGCGCCGGCCAGGGACACCAGACTCAGGGTGGGGCCTGCGTGTCATCCTCCGGAACTCTCCCAGGAGACGCCCGTGTGCGGCCAGGTTTGAGGTGGTCCTCTGTAAAACTGGCTTTCCCCATGATGAGTATATAGCATGGAGGGTCCTGCCAACTAGATGGGGTGCCTGATGGAGAATTCCCCCTTCCCTGGCTCCCTGCAACAGAGCCCACACCAGAAATAAGTAAGCCCGTCTTAAAATGGTTCGATTTAAAAAACAAAAAACTAAGACATGCATATGGCACACACTGCAGGCAGCGCAGATGGGTCCTCGGGGAAAGAACAGTCACCCTGTCCCCGTGGTCCCCCAGCGGCAGGCAGCCCCTGTGCCCTGCTCCCAGGGACCCTGTGAGAGCCGGCCCTGCGCATGCCTGCTGAGCCCCGCCCGGTGCTCCACGGCAGACCGGCACCCACAGACAGCCCAGCTTCCCCTGGGGCACCGGCTGTGGCTCAGACAGCGCAGCTGCCAAAGCGTCATGGAGTCTTTGGGCACACGTACGACTCCCTCCAGGACGAGTACCTCCAACTGTGACATTCTTGGGTCACAAAACAGGTGGAATCCTATGGCTGATCGGGCACCCTGTTTTGTCTTCCCAGAAGCTGTCTACGCCGGCGCCCCCGACGTTCGAGCTGCCCGCACTGTACAGGACCGAGGACTATTTTCCTGCGGACGCAGGGGAGGCGGCGGCCCTGACCTCCAGCTGCCGTCACCGTCTGTGAGCGTCGTGGTCCTGCCACTGGGGACATTGGGAAGTGAGCCCCTGTGTGCGGGCAGCTTAGGTTTCTTCTACTGTCACCATTATTGATTTGTTGGCTGAGGTCCCTCCCTTGCTTCATGGGACACCGTGGGGTTTGGAGAAGCAGTTGGACCCGGTTTGTGATGGAGCCTCAGGGAGGAGCTGCCGAAGGTGTTTCTTCACCAGCGTTGGGCAGTCAGGTCTGAGAAGCCACTGTGCCCGAGGGACAGTGGGGACTTCCTCTGTGAAGGGCTTTGTGTAGGAGCCATGGGGGACCCACTCCTCACTCGGTGCCACCGGCCTGTGCGGTGCCAGGTCCATCACTGTTGGTTTGTTGTGAGCACCAATGTCTGCTGGCATGTCAATAAAGGTGTCAAGAGCTCACGTGTGGTCTGGGTGTAGGGACACGGTTGGGGGGCGACCAGTTCCTTTTTGCTCTGTGTAAATGTTTCCTCTAAGGCTGCTCCTGCCCCCTGGGCAGACCCGCCCTGAAATCTCCTGATCCAGCCCCTGGCCCACACCTGCCAGGGGGCCCCTGCCACGCTGAGGATCCCGGCAGGCATGTGGCAGCGGAGGGCGTGAGGGCCGCCCTGGCTTCAAAGGTGTGCTTGCTTTCCTTTTTTCTCACGCAGATGAGTTTCCTGTTATTATCCTGAAAGTCCAGATGCCACACGATAGTAATGGATGTTTCTAGTTTTTCTGGAGTTCCTTCCAGAGCCAAGAAAACACCCCCCCCCCCCAAACTGCAGACCTGCACTAGAATTTCAAGGAAATCTAAATTAATCAGGCGAGACAGCAGAAAAGGAAAATTGAGCCTTGCCAATTGCAAGATAATTTTGGGAATTAAAAGATAAAGGTGGACCCTGTGTTTCCAGAAGAGCCGACATTTTTCTCTGGTGATGACTTCTGTAAACTTTTATAATTTTTTATTAAAATTTTGTATAAATTATTTTAAATCATGGAAGTCTGATTTACATACAGAAAGGTTTACCTCGGGTATGGCTCACTGCGTTTCCACAAAGGGAACACACAGCTGTTTACCCCTCCCCCAGGGGGAGAAATGAACCAGCTGGCAGGGCCAGCGCCCGGAAGCTGCCCCCGCCCCGCCCCCGCCCCGCCCCCGCCCCCCCCGCCGGGCCAGCCCCGCCCTGACATAGCGCAGACCCTGTGGCCGGCTCAGGTGCTCTGAGGGCTGGACGGTGGCGAGAGGACGTCCGCACGGGATGCCGCCGTCCTTGTGCCTGGCTGCGCAGCTGACGCTGTGCCCGTGGGAGGCGTCCCTGTGTGGGCGTGGTTGTTAATTGGGCTGCATTGATGGGGACTGCCTTTGATGAGCAGCACTTAGGTACTTGCTGTGCCCCAGTCTGCGCAGCGAGAGCACGGGTTCGATGGAAAGTTAGTTTTTGAGACAAGCAGTGAGGACACCAGTTTCCAGACGGCCGAGTGTGTGTTGATGGCCGGGGAGGCTGAGGCCTCTTTGTACTTCCAGAGCCTGAACCAGGTGCCAGGGAGGCATGAAAGGCAATGGTATGTGATCAAGCCACAGCAACCTAAGTGTCCGTAAATAGAGACCCACCAGAGGCTGAGAGCTTACAGGCTCTGAGGTCGGCCTGTCTAGGTGGCGTCATCTCCTGCATGCCTCGGCTGTGTGACCCTGGGCTAGTTGCTTCCCCTCTCTGAGCCCGGCCTCCTCCTCTGTAAAATGCAGAGAATAATGGCACCTGCTCTGGGGCTGCTGTGGGGATGAAACAAGACAACCTGCGTGAGCGCTTGGCGCAGGTTGAGCAGCAGGTGCTCGGTCATGGGTGGCTGGGTGGCAGAGGGCTGTGCGCTGCTTTTCTCAGTTGACCAGTGGCATTTAAGAGTCTCAACAGCAGTGACTGAGGAACTGCCCTTAAACTTCAGAGTAAGGACAAGTCAGGAGTGAGAGCTACTAAAAGTCCAACTAGCTCTCTCCAGTTTCGCTGTCCCAAGTCAGGGAGGCGGCATAAGAACATCTATGGGGACGTGGTGGCTAGTGAACTGGCCACTCCAAGTTCCTTATGGGTTGTGGTGCCAAGCAGGGAACTTTTAGGGATATTTGGAGGCACCTGGGGGAGGGAAGGCCAGACACAGGGCCTGCCAGGCATTCCCGACCTCTGTTCACTTCGAGCTACTGAAATTCTGGAGCTCCTGTCCTTGTTCCAGGTGACGTGACAGGCGTCCCCTTTAAAGCTAGTGCCTGGCTGGTTCCTGTCAAGTAAATAAAAACCTTGACTGCTGACTGGAGCGGGTCCTGGGCCCATTGCAAGGGTCGCTTTGCAGCCCGGGACAGAGACACAAGTAGAAAAGACCGTTGCAAATTTTCATAAGCAAAGTGCTTCCGCCAGCCACCTCCCCACTTCTCCAGTGGGTGCGAACCTCATATCTGCCAAAGCAGGGGTTTCAGGATGGTGGCCTCCGGGCTGACGGAAACATGTCGTTTGCCCTGGACTGTTTTTAAATTGTTTTCATGTTGAGACAACTGTGTAACCATCTGGGGAAAAAAGTGAGTTCCATACCTCACTCCACACACCAGGAACAGTTCCAACATTCCAAATGGATTAAAGAGGAGTTAAAAGTATAAAAATTAATTTATGAGGAGGCAGAAACAGTACAGAATCATATAAAACCTAGACGTCATAAAAGCTAGATAAAATTGATCACATATATAATCATACACACACATACATATATATGCACACACACACTCTGCATGGCAAAAAAAGAAAGAAATCCCCAAAACAAAACAACAAAATCCTAAGCAATTTCAAAAGACAAATGACAAAAAAGGCAAGTGACAAACAGAGAATATATTTGCAGCTCATATTACAGAGGGGTAATTTCCCTAATAGCTCCTACAGATAAATAAGAAAAAACAAACAAAAAAAATGGACAAAGGATATGAATAGGCATTTCACAGAAAATGCAAACAGCTCTTAAACATTTGAAAAGCTAGCCAACCACGATCTCTCCCAATAAGTATGAAAGAAGATTGAAGTTATTCAGTTTTTACTTATCAGGCTGGCAAAGGTGAAATGTCTTTTGAAGATAGCACTGGTGACATTTTCAAGAAAAATTTGTTCTCCATTGTTGGGGGAACCATCATGGCTGTACCTTTAGCAACATCAGAAATGTGTATACACGGGAACCTAGTAATTCCACCCTATAAGGATCTAGCCTCTCAATACACACACAAGAGGAACGATAAATGCAAAGGGTTATTCCCCCACTTGGAAGTAGGAAAAGGTTGGAAAGAACCTGAGTGTCTGTCACTGTGGGATCACTTTAGTTACGGCACGTCCATGCACACAGGGATAGATGGAATCCCCAAGGTTGTAAGAATGGATTAGGATTTCTTTACGAATCAGTACAGAAGTAACACCACGGTAAGAAAGCCAATGTGCATAAAAATGCACATGATATGCTACCACCTGTGTGCGAAACGAAGGCATGGAAGTTCTCCAGGAGGGTAAACAGAAATTTGAGCGCAATGAATATCTATTTTGGGTGAGAAGTGGGCTTTTCTCTTTTGTATACTTTTTGGATATTTTGGTGTTTACCTATTCCAAAAACTCAATTAAAATCAGTTGCCAGCAATGAAAAATTTGGACGGTCCAGGCATAAAACTGGATTTCCAGTTTCTCTTCAAAAACTGGAATTACCTGGCCATACTGGGCTCACCTTCCTGCAACGCCACAACAAGCTACAGCTGAGTGGCTTCGGAAGGTGCATGTGCCCCAGGTTCTCTTGCATCCAAATGATTCATTGATTGATTTTACCTGCCTGGCATTTCCGAGCCTTAGAACCGTGGAGAATTCACTCCCAGGCTATGGGGTATGTTCAGGATCACTGCAGTTCAAGCAACAGGCAGGCTAGTGACCATCTCTGTGCCCCGATTTCAGATTCCATGGGGACAGGGGGTCGGGGGGGTCTTATAGAAATTTGTGCTTTTCATGGCTCTCCTTTGGGGAGTAACTGATACCAAGTCAGACAAAGATATCATGAGAAAACTACAGGCCAACATGCCTCATGAACAGAGATGCAAAAGCCTGCAACAATATATTAACAAGACTGAATCCAGCAACCTAGGGAAAGGATTCTACGCTGTGACCAAGTGGGATCTCCTAGAAATGCAAGGTTGGTTTGACATCTGACAATCAATATAACCCACTGTATTAATGAAGGTCAAAAACCATGCAATCACCTCAATAGATGCAGAAAAAGCTTTTGACAAAATCCAACATCCATTTATGATAAAAGCGCTTCTTCCAGAGGTGGAGAGGGGAGTGCTCAGAGGGTCGGGTCGGGTGATTTGTTGACCCAGGAAGCTGGCCTTTTCCTCCCCATCTTAAAGCAAAATTCCACTTTGTCTTATGGTCAAGAGCACAACCATTTGGGGGTGTGGAAAGATCCAAAGCCCTCCTGGCTCCGAGCCACTGTGGAGGGGCAGGGGGCCGGAGACTGGCCTCTGCCCTCTTTTCCTGGGACATCTGGCCCATCTGTTTTGCTGGCTACACATGATGCGAGTTGCAGGAAGGAGCTCAGTGCAGACTGCAGTGGACAAATGTATTTTGCTGGGATAAACGCATGGTTTCCCTGAAGAATCAAAGCAACAACCCAGCCTGAATGCTGGAGGCCCGCCCCTTCCCCCGGAAACACTTTCTCATTGGGCCTTCCAAGGAGCTGCTCTGTTATAAATGGAACAGTCAGCGGTTCATCAGCACCGTTTTTCTGGGAGAGCCAGGCCCCCAAGGCGCAGGCGAGGGAGGAACTCTGGAGGGGCCGAGAACCAGGTATGTGCTTCTCTTCTGTTGGTGGGCTGCAGTCTCATTGTTCCGGTAAACCATGGGGACATGAGGGCATTACCTTGCAGGTGCACAATTGTTGGCATCTTTGAGTGTGGAGATGGGTGTTTTAGGCTGTCTGACCAGTGTTTCTTGAGTAGGGGGAAATAGAAAAAATGGTCTTACATGAGAAACCACTGGCAGCAAATCTACAATATTAATTGGGGAAGTCTTGTGCTGTAGCCCAGGTTCACTTAAGTGTCTTTGAAATAGTGGTGGTCAGTCTAGGCTGCGCATTGGAATCAGCTGGGCCACCCCCGGACCAGTTACCTCAGAGTCTCTGAGGGGAGGCCTCAGCACTGCTGGGTTTTGTGACTTCAGTGTGCGCTGGGGCTGGGGATCAGTGCTTTTAATGTACAAAAGGCAAGAAATTTTATTTTTAAAAATTGATTTTAGAGAGAGGAAGCGGGTGGTGGCGGGGAGAGAGAAATATCGATTTGCTGTTCCCTTTAGTTCATTCATTGGTTGATTCTTGCATGTGCCCTGACTGTGGATCAAACCCAACACCTTGGCGTATCGGGATGATGCTCTAACCAACTGAGCTACCCAGTCAGGGCAGTCATATTTTTAAAGGAGGACTCGCTACCTCTTTTCCAGTTGTGATAATTGCACTTTCTGTTTTCGATGCTTGGTGAGTTTTCGTTTGAAAAGTGTACTGGCCTCATGCCTTCCTGAGTTTGGTGTAGGACTGGGTTTGAGTTGGTTTCTCTTTTGGGTTGAATTGATTCCACCCCAGGTCCAGAGATGTGTGCTGACCGATCTAAGCCAATCAGAGTAATCCTAGCTCAGCAACTCACCAAGGTAGCTCTGGCGAAAACCGCTGGTCTCAGAAATTTGTTCTGGAATGGTCAAATCGGCTCTGATTTTAAGAGTCTTGTTCTATGATGCGAAACCCTCTCAGGGAAGGTAATGAAGGAGGGACACCA